TATACCGAATGCAAAAGGGTAATTTTCAATGTTAGTATCTTAACACGTAGTAATAATCAACTAGTCTTTGTATCTAGCTTTTAGAGTTGTACCATCAACTAAAATTAGGGGTCGCATCGCATTCGAAATTCCTGAATGCATTGTCCACGGCTATAAAGAAAAACACAAAGCAGTTCTAGCCCTCTGCCTCAATAAAATATACCGAGTCAGGCTTAGTTATCCCCCATGTTATGTCAATAACTGGCTAATTTAGTATAGCTCTCATCGGCCGAGCCCATTAAATCCTGCAACATGCATTCTTGGGTTTTCTAGACTTTCCAGTAGCTTATTACCACTCCGTATCTCGACAGACTTCATTAATAATGTCCGAAAGTCCATAAATCATCTGTATGCCCCGATACTCGTGCATTATCTGTTGACTAATTTACATTCTCAGGTTTGCCCTTTTTAGATAACATATAGCATAATGCTATTTATGTCTTTTTTATTATACTTTTTAACCAAAAAATATTTATATTTGTCTTCGTTGTTACTAAAATTATTCCTCAAAATAGTCTGTGTAAAAAAAATAATAGTGTCGGATAGCAAAACATATGATTACCATTCGTAGGAAAAGTCAGGTTGGATTTGGCTCTTTCAAGAAGAATAGACTAACTCGGCCCATGGGTCCAATTATCATGTTTCAAGTCGAGTAGTTCACAAAGACTTATAGCATGTTTGGGAGCTATTTATAATCAGTTAAACTATTAAATATATAAAAATAAATTTGTGATGGATATGAGTAGTACTTATGCATCGCACAAAATATATGAATGAAAATTATTTTGATCAATTTATAAGAGGCAAACAAGGGCTAAGCCTCATGGTTGACGAGCTGGCAAGGGCAGCCTGCACCATTGCACCACTACTTGAGCCAAAACCGAAAGTTCTGAGGAGTACATGTCAACAAAAATTGAATGAGTACCTAATTGTTGTATTTCATAAAATACGGGGACCTATCCGTAATACTCCCGAGTGTTGTATTTTCTGGAGATACAGAAGCTACGAAAAAAGTGCCGATCTGTGGAAACTGTAGCCTGCTTACAGCGCACACTCGCATCGTCCAATTAACTTGGATTCGTAAGCCTCTATAAAAGGCGACTGGCTACTGTTAAACTCATATCTGGGATTAGCACAATTATTTTCATTTCATTTGAATCCAAAATTTGCAGCTTGTAATCAGCCAAAAACCCAACAGAGTAGCAGGAAAATTGATCCTGCAGTAGCAGAAGAAGTAGGAAAAAGTTGTAATTGAAAAGAATGTCAGTGCAGGAATATCTGGACAAGCACATGCTTTCCCGGAAAATAGAGGACGCCGTGAATGCGGCGGTTAGGGCTAAGACTCCGGATCCAGTTCTATTTATCTCCAATCACATGAGAAAATCTGTGTCGTCTGCAATTACCAAGGTCAAAGCGAGGCAAATTCTCGATAGCAGAGGAATTCCCACTGTTGAAGTTGATTTGTACACAAACAAAGGGATCTTCCGCGGTGCTTCCCCCAGCGGCGCCTCTTCAGGAATGTATGATTTTATCATTTTTTATTAACAAGTATTTGTTTCAAATCATTTTGGCCTATGTTGGGTAATTAATTGTCCGAGTTTGGAATACTGTTGACGTAGTTGATAAAATGAAGTAGGGAACTTTTAGTTACTGGACGCCAAAAAAGAAGAGGAATTTGGAGGCATTGTTTTATGTATATTCAGTGTTCTTTCTGAAACAGAGAAATTTGAGTATGATTATTTTGTTGTTGTTAACATCCATGGTTATAAAATGGAGAAATCATCATCATCCAGTGTAATGCGCAAAAGTTTGTTACCAAAGCATCTATTGAACCCCATTGATAAAATATTAAAGGATCGTTTCAATTTCAATTGTGTAAATATTAAGGACAGTCATGGGGACTCAGATCCTTGAATTTGTAAAACTGAAACTGAAACTGAAACTACAGCTTCAGATTTAATTTATTCCAGCTTCAAAATCCAATTTTCTTTCTCCAAACATAGAATGAGGTTTCGGAGATATGCAAAGAGTCTTCGGTCCTTGACCTGTCTGCTGTGGTTAATAGGTGTAGTTGTGCCTGTTTATGGAGTGGCTATTGCTAGTGTAATGAAAAACTCTTAGAACAATAATTTTTCTATAACTATCTTGTTTGGCAAATACTTTCGATTGACTTTCTTGGTGCATGTGTGAGCTATTAGTGCGAAATTTAAAATAGTAGGTGGTTACGTTGAATCTATTGCAGCTTGTTGATCTCAGTTACGACGTTGAGTTTTTTTTATCACCGACTTTTTTAAAGAGATTTGAGATCTGAAAATGATTTAGTTCATGTTAAATCATTTCATAAGTAGGACTACATCATTGCATAGTTACCCATACACATGAAGATTTTTTTCCAGTATTCTGACTGACATCGTATCAGTGTTCTTAGTTCTTAGACAAGTCAAAAACATTTTGTCAGATGCTAGATCTTGAAGGTAATTGAAATTTTGAAATCCGGGCAGAGGGGTATAACTTCATATTATGCTTTTATACCCAGGTATGAGGCTATGGAATTGCGAGATGGAGACAAGGGAACATATCTTGGAAATGGTGTGAGTAGGGCTGTGAAGAATATCAATGAGAAAATATCTGAAGCTTTAATCGGTATGGATCCAACTCTTCAAAATCAAATTGATCAAGTCATGATTGACTTGGACAAGACAGAGAAGAAGGTAGCTTATTGTTCTTCGGTTGAAGTATCAAGTTGTTTTCAGTTTATGCCTCATCTGTGCACGTGTCGGCGCCTGTGCTTATATTAGCATTTATTTCATTACATGAAATCTATCTTTATATAAATGACATCGCACACTGAAATCTGAATAGATTGGATTTTCTATTTATTTCTAGTTTACCATTTACAGAGTGAACTTGGGGTAAATGCAATTTTAGCAGTCTCAATTGCCGCTTGCAAAGCTGGAGCAGCTCAAAAAGAGGTATGTCCACCTTGAATCTTAACTATGCCACTTTGATAGCATTATAAATTATCTTAAATCTGAGTGAGAGTCATCTTCAGGTTCCACTCTACAAACACATTGCTGATCTAGCAGGCAAAACCAATTTTAATCTTCCTGTCCCGGCCTTCACTCTCATCAATGGTGGGAAATATGCTGGCAACAGTCTGGCAATCCAGGTAAGGTGCATTTGGGTTAACATGACCCATTTTACTTGCTATTTACTTTGAAGTAGTTTTTCTTATATTAGTCAAACAACCATATGGGTGATCCTTTTGAATGAATTTGTTCTCACAAATTACTTAGTGTTGATTACTCCTTTGTTGTTTGAATGTTTTTGTAATTTATACATTCAAGATAGTGTACCAGTCCTGTTTATCAGTCAATGGTTAAAAATGGCTACTGGATAACCCCCAAACTGTTAAGTACAGAATGGCCAGATATTTGACTGTGATATATCCAGGAAAGAAAATTTGTAACTTAGCAAAAGCTGTTATTATAACCTATTATATTAGTCACCATTAAAAGATTATCATAATAAATTAAATAGTACAGGCTCTGATCCACTTTTCTCTCAGAATATTTGGAACCAATTATCAAAAATGGCTTACATAGATTATTTCAGCAAGTCAGTCTATGAACACTTGTTTTTAATTTTATCTTTTGCTGTTTGTGCGGGGTGGTGTGGAGTGGGGTCCTCCATATTAGTGACTATTGGACTTTAGGAAGTGTTTTCTCATCTTTGTAGTGTCCCGGATAAGTCCTATCTGAAATTGTAACTCTTCTAAGGAATGTAAACTCACCATTTTCCCATCTCCAAAACTTTGGCTAGAATTACTTGTTTATTTTATTAGATTATTAAATAATTTATAATAACATATGATCTACCATCTAATAATCTATGGTAACTGATAATGAGCTTTTATGTCTTTAGTCACAAAAAAGTTATAGCAGTTTGAAATCTAATTTTTGAAACTGTGCCAAACAGCATAACAATATGTATCACATATTACCTTGTTGATAATCAATTCCGACCTCTTCTATAATAATCTCAACTAAATTCATTGGAAGTAATTATACATAAATAAGTTGACTAGAAGTCTCTCATTTGACTCTAATCTGCACATTGTATAGTTAACATTGTTAGAAGCAGACCATGTTTTACTAACTAGGAAATGAATGTTGTTTGTGGAGCGTGATCCTTCTCTCTCTCTTTCCATGGTCTAATTAATATTTATTTTTGTACTCTGGACTTATACTAGGCAGAATGAATGTCTGTGGGTAATTTATTTGATATTTGTCCTATTCCACATATTCCCTACACTTTTACCCAGTTCTGTTCTTTGCTGTTTGCTTCTCATATATATATATATATATAACTGACAATCACCACTAAAATGTTATCAGGAAATTATGATTCTCCCTGTTGGAGCCAGAAAATTTGAGGAGGCATTACAAATTGGTGCTGAAACTTATCATCATTTAAAGGTTACTTCATCCAACCAGGAGGGGGCACCTGTGAAAGAGTTTTTGCCTGTTTTTATAGTTTACATCCATTCAATTGCTGATTGTAATATAGTTTATTGCATACATGTCTATAAAAATTTAAATGATCCTTTCTACAATTCATCACTTTAGTACTTGCGAAGCATAAGTATGATCTTTTCAGTCAATTGAAAATTATGGAAAATAAATCTGATCATAGTTATGGCAGCATTACTAGCATGTATCTCACTCGCAAATAGTTTTATTTTCTTTTATGCGTATGCAAATTTGCACGATGAAACCTTGAGAAATAGTGCTCTCTTTTCTTTTTGGCTGACCATGGTGGTGATCATTTTGACACGTTTTAGAAAGACATTTTGTGAGATTTTTTCATATTTAAGTTATGTTCATGGTTTTCTTCTTTAATTTGTCGCATACATCTTGAAATTGTTGGACGAACCTCTTTGACTAAATAGTGTCATTGTGTTTTCCAGTTCCATATGTTAACTTGTGTATTTCCATCTTTGCCTGTAAAAAGGCAGGCTGTAATTACAGAAAAATATGGCGCACATGGATGTAATGTGGGGGAAGATGGTGGTTATGCTCCAAATATTTCCAGGCAAGTTTTTCTTCATTTGGTTTCTTTTGTTGAACCAAATTGGTGGTCCTGATTTTCAGCACCTGCAGCTTTAAAGAAGGTTTGGATCTTGTGAAGGAGGCTATTGGCAGAACAGGCTATAATGACAAAGTAAAGATAGCAATTAATGTTGCTGCTACTGAATTTTGCATAGGTGATGTACTTCATCCTTGGACATGCAACACCCTTTTTATAAAACATAAAATCTGTATGTTTTTCTTACTTGAGTTAAGAAACACTCAGAAAATATCTGAATCCTACGAATAAGTCTTCTTCTCTAGGAAAACTCTTGAAAGCTTATGCTTGTCTAAAACTCCCAAAGAGTTATGAAACCATGCAACCAGTCCTGCCTTCTGTTATAATTACTGAAAACTATTGCTAGGTATTGTTATATATTAGCCCCCGTTTGGTACTTATTAAATTACATTTCATTTTTTTCACTCCTATTTTCAACCACACAATTTTCCATAAAATAATATTACACGTAAATCGAAAATTTTTCCTTCTTTTTCAACCATTCATTTTTCAAAAAACACAATTTCACTCATTTTCATTTCTAAAAAATGGGGGCCAAACAGGGGCTTATTATCATTATAACACTCAAAATCTTTCATGCTGTGTCAGTTCATTGATGATAATGTTCTCGGTTCACATTTCAGATATTGAAATCGAATTCTAATGTATGTTTGATGATCTTATTCTTCCCTGTCTGAAGTCGATAGATATAAATCGGCAAACATTTTCCTGCAATTCCATGTTCTTTATATTCACTTGTAGTCATGTATTATAATTGTTGACTCATTTTAATGGCTAAATGTGTTCCTTTACAAAACTCGGATAGGTGAAGGTTGAGTTTCTGAAGTTTAGGAAACTGTAATAAGGTTTACACAGAGTTTCTGAAAAATGGATATAGTGGAGTTATGATACTGTGATTAAATTCCAATTATGCCATCTGGATTCTCATTGTCACATATCCGGGACATGGCTTGAGAATGTGAATGACTAATGAGATAGATGGAATGATTTTGAGTAATGAAATAAAGGCTGTGCAGGGAGCTTTGTTGCAGTGAAGCTTTCCATCTTGTGCATGTGTGAGCAATCATTGCATACAGCAATGGAGTTGTTTCCAACTTAAATATCGTCCTCTGACTTCTCGACTTTTAGAACAAAGCTACCTGAAAGTGTCAGCTTCAATGCCATGAAGGATCACGCTAGCATGAAATCAGCATAAATAACAAACTAAAATCATGTCCAGGCAAGAGATGATTAGAGCAATGGAGACCAGGCATTTTCTGAACTTGATTAGATCACTGGTGCTTAGTCTGGTCAACAATGTTTTTTGACCATGTGAATAATTATAAGGGTAATTGACACAAAACTTTATTATTCCTTGACTATTTTACGTATATCGTCCCTATCCTTTCAATCTGGTGGAAAACACCCTTAGATCAAGCAAATGTTGCGGAAATTGTTCCTATCGTCCATTGCCTCCATTAAAGCCGAATATACCCTCCTCTTTAAATAAACAAAAAGAAAAGAAAGAAAGAAGAGAGAGAGAAAAAAGAAAAAAGAGAAATAATTGTATCTAGAGTCCTAAGTTTTTCGTAAAGTGCAAACGGGTCCCACTTAAAACAGTTAGAACATATGGTCAGTAATGATTATTTACGCAACATTTGCTCGATGTGAGGGTGTTTTGTGCCTAATTGAAGGGATAGGGAAGATTTGCGTAAACCAGGCAAAGGATATGGATTTTTTGTGCCAATTACCCTAACTAAAACCTAGGACAGTTATATTAAAGATTTTTCTTTTGTATCTTTTTCATAAGCTTCAGGCATTTTTGGGTCTATAGATAAATAAAATTTCTAGCCTGAGTTTTATTTATTGATGGGTTTATGAGTATTTTCAGACTTCAGTATTATTTCTTATGAAATTGGTGGTGTGGTGAATTCGAGTTGTAACCACAGTGTACCCAACATCTACTTCCAGTTGATATTTCTTTATTATTCTTTTACATGTAGAGGGATTGTCTGTTACCTTGAAAAGTTTTCTTATTTAAGGGTGTCTTTGTTGCCAGCACTTCAGCCGCCGTTCCAACCCCTTTGAAGGGATCATATTCTTCATCCAACTTTAAACATCTCAATTTATCTTTTGGTACTTTAATTTGTGAACTTCTCATCTGTTCTAGAGGAACTGATTGTTTTGTTTGCTTATTTAGGTACTAAGTATGATTTGGATTATAAATCTCCAAATAAATCAGGTCAAAATTTCAAGTCAGGAGAGGATATGATTGATATGTACAAAGAACTCTGCGAAGGTATCTTAATTGTTAATTACATTTCTTTGATGTTTCTTTCCCCCTGTCCTTGAATGTGAAAGCTGCAGGCCTGAAGAAATTGATTTTTTTCTTTTACCCTCAATTCCAATTTCTCATTTCTCTCCTCCCAATATCTGGGGTCTCTGGCAGTATACCCTGTTGTATCAATTGAAGATCCATTTGACAAGGAGGATTGGGAACATGTCAAGTATTTTTCTGGTCTTGGAATATGCCAGGTTTGCCTGTCACTCTCACTGATGACTTTTTAGTTGCAAATTCCATGGTACTGAAGTTTCTACCACAGAATGATCACCAGATTAGGCTTGGAGTGTATAGCTATCTGCAACCCTGGTTCAAGAGTAACTTCTAACTAAAATGAACTCTCTGGAACTTTAAGCTGTCTATTCAAAACAAAGTGAAACAAATAATTGTTTTAGTGCAGACTTTCTCTTCATTTGATAACTCTGATAAGGAAACACAGAATATCAACAGTACATTAAAGATGGTAATTTAATGCACTTTTCAATGTCTTGCACTTGATGTATAGAGTTTGTCAAATATTTTGGGTGAAAAAACAGTTTAGGTTTGCATGAAGAGTCACCTCAAGAAGTAGAGAGACAACAAAATTTCTGCCAATTGACCACCCCTGACGCCGGATGTAATAGGAGAATTGTAAGAGAAGGGGAAAGGGAAGAGAAGAAGAGAAAGGAGGGAGAAAAGAGATAAGAAGAGGGGAAGAAATTCAATTTATTTCATAATCAAATGTTGATTTATTACAATGCAAAAGACCCCTTTATATAGGGTTTAAACTAGTGCTAATTTAAGTAGGAAATTATTATAAAATCAACGAAATCAAAATGCTTATTATGTTTCCTAGAATAAATATCAAAATTGGAAACTAAATATCATATTATCTCTTTAATATTGCATCACTCCCCCCTTTCAAACACATACTCAGGCATCCGCATTCTGCACTAATCTGATAGGTTACTGGATGGTTAGCTAAAGCAGGGGAGGGGTATTATGGAAAGTTAGTAGAATGAATTTGTTTAGGCTTCTTAGTATAGATAGGGGAGGGTTGTTCATTTTCATTCAAGCAGAAATTGAGGGTTGGTTTTGGGAGAGTCCAGGCATCTCGAATGCCTAGGAATTTTAGTTCATCTCATTTAATGTCAGTATATGCAGTTTGATCTGGATCCTATCACAATCCTACTCTGTTAACTTTTTAGATCGCTTTTAATTGCAGGTTGTGGGAGATGACTTGTTGATGTCAAATCCTAAACGAGTAGAGAGAGCTGTGCAGGAGGCAGCTTGCAATGCACTTAATCTAAAGGTACCTGCTTATGTATACTTGAACTGTAGGCTTGCAAGTTAAATACTGAGTGAGGGTAGTGTATTCATTTTTACTGCCATCTGCTAATTCGAGCTGTATATCTATGAAATGATGACAAGTGAAAACAGAAACTAATGTTGCTAAATAATTATTAATTTTGTTTGTTCCATTTGTTCTTTAAGCTGTATTTTAGGTTTTGACTACTGAATTCAGTATTCTTAGGGCATCCATGCTCTGGTGCAACAAATACGCATGCACATTTCGGAGTAACTGCTCAAAATACCCTATTTTACTCTGACCAACAGTGGAAATCTAAAAGCATTTCTTCAGCTATGATGGAGCAGATGTCCCACTCCTACTTGAGCACGTTTATTTGCTAATGCAATTGCAATGTGATTAGTTTTTTCCTCTTCTGCTTATAGCATAGGATTATTCAACAAAAATATTTATTATGTACTTGAATACTCTTATTATTGCTTAAATTTGCACGGCTTGTTTGTTTTCTTTTTTACTTCTTAAGGTCATGATCTACACTCCTTGTTTCAACTTGTGTAGGTTATTCGTTTAGAGTTGCAACTGAATGGTTACTATACAGTTTTACAAGTTTAATGACATTTTCAGCATATCAATTATGTTATATAGAGCGGGTTTCTGTGCTATCTCTAATGGAAGAACTGGAATTCAGGTTAATCAGGTGGGGACTGTGACCGAGGCCATCGAAGTGGTCAAGTTAGCAAAGGATGCCAACTGGGGTGTGGTGATATCTCAAACAAGTGGAGAGACTGAAGATTCTTTCATAGCCGATTTGTCTGTTGGTCTTGCCACTGGTCAGATTAAAGCTGGTGCACCTTGCCGTGGAGAGAGGCTAGCGAAGTACAATCAGGTTTACATCTTACATATTAGTTCCTTAATTTGTAATTTAGATATTTCAAAATCTGAATCTTGTGAAGGGGTAATACTTCTAGGGTGGAGTATTGATATCCTACATGCGCTATATGGCATTCCTGTTTCTTATGTTTTTAAAATTTGATACGTGAAGGACATGTCCTCCAACATGCCTCAGACATGTATTGGACATGTTCAGGTCATGACAGGTTCCATTTTATAAAATTAGGAATATAGAAAATCAAAATAATAAGAGAAAAGATGAATGAACTTCATGTTGAAGTTGTTTTATATGCATTATATGCACTTTTTGACTTCTCTTTTTATTTCGTTGCCAATGGTAATACAATGTACAACTAAAAGTTATGATAACATAACAATTAACGACTTCTTATCACAAGCTTTTACCTGCAAAAATTCTAAATCAATCAGTATACTTTGAGATTATCTTTTGAAGAGGCATTTGTTCTTGGATGATGAACAAAACTTTGCTAGACCAGAGGTGCAATGTAAGCAAAGCACCGTGAAGTGTGATCCGTACTAACGGAAGGACTTAATGTTGTGAAGTAAAAAACTACAATAATAAAGAAATTAAATATAAATATAAGATCTTTGCTATCAATCTATGTGTCTTGTCATACTTCCTTCTATTTGTTACTCCACTTGAAAATTGAAAATTATGTGTTAGCTTGTCTATGGAATCAGGTCTTCATATGTGCTTCGCATCCTCAAACTTAGTTGTGATTCTGAAAACTAGCTCTTAGTGATTGATTCCATGGAGAAAAAAATTTGTATAATGTCTCTTGCACTCCTGTTGATTCAACTCAGTTTCTTCGGAATTTCTTCATGAATTTTATATAAAAACTAAGTAGATAAAGTAAATAATAGAAATGGGAAATTAGTACCCACAGCGTAACCGACCATTGTATCTCTATTTGTTTTCTTAGTGTCCCTTTTCAAATTTCTGAACAAGGATGATTATATGTGCTCATTCGAGTATAAACTGCAAAGTTTGTTCTTTGGTTTCCCAACATGTGCTTGCTTTAATAGGCTTAATGTAAAACTAACATCGAAAAATTAATCTGCAGTTGCTTAGAATTGAAGTAGAGCTTGGAGACGAAGCTGTTTATGTTGGTGATGGCTGGAGACACTGCTGAACATTTCATAGTTCGTCTGTTTCAAGGGGTCTTTCTTCCTCATTATTCTGCAGCTGTGGCTCCCTCGTTCTTTTCCTAATTGCTTTGACCATACAGAGTTTTCTATGGAGATTCAGGGAACTTAGTCTCCAGGTTTGTATTTGGCTGCTAAAAGTTCAGGATTCTGGTTTGGTGGGTTGGGATTTTGCGGAGATCAAATGAGTGATTTGAACTAGTGTACAAGTGACATTGTTTCCAAATATGCGAACTTACTTTTGATACCAAATGCCTAAATTTAGGATGAAAAAAGTAGTTGAGTTCATGGTCATGGCTGAGGATTATTCAAGTTGCATATCCTGCATTTCCAAGTCTGTTCCCTGCTGCAGGGGCTGTACTTGGAATTCTAACACTAAATGGCAAATTTTTCTAAAATGGCTTCCTTACACTGCAGAGTAAAGTATCACTTTCTAATTTCTAGTATAAAAGGTTTGGTTTTAAATATGTTAATTGTGAATTTTTAAAAAAATTGTTAATTGTATTAGGCCTTTTTTCCCCTTTCCAATCCGGACATCCAGCCAGATTAAATCAACTTCATTGGTTGTCTGATTAACTTCACTTATCTTCATTACAGGTCAAGAACGTTGAAGTTTAAACTATAGAATCTGATTTTAAGTTTTGGTAAGCAAGAACACATCCATCTTCTGTTTATATTTAGCAGCAGAGGTCCCCAACCTTTGGCACCTGTTGCACTTTGGTTCCCGAGCTATGAAAAGGAGCATTCATGTCCTGAACCTTTCATTTTGGTATCACTTAAAAATGCCCATTTACCCTTTAAGTCAAAATCAATAATTAATTTCAATCATACGTTTCATAAGGTTTACAACTTTTCAACAATATATTTCATCAATTTTTATTAAAAGTTGCTAAAGTTTTGATTTTAATATCAACTAAACTAGCATAATTTTATAAGAGAGAAACGATAAAAACAGACGATTGACTTCTTTACTTCACTTACCCACTCCTATCCAAATTAGTTTTGCTACAAGTACATAAAAAATTTGATAGAATTCTTAAAGGGAGATATGAGGTAGTTTTTCATTGATTTTTTACACAACAAACACAGAAAATGCATCATACACGTGTTTTGAGCGCAGCATCTGTACCATTCGTGTTAATAATTTCCTATGCCTATGGAATTATTTTATCCAAATAATGCATTTGGGTTAGGTCCACCGACATGCGTCACCCGAGACAAATTTTGCACCAAAACTAACAGCTCGTAGAAATCTAGGGTTGGATGGAATTGGGCTGTTTCGAGGGAGAAAAAAGTTAAAATAATGAGAACCAAACATGCCGTTTAATCTACAGTTATCTAGGAAAGAATCCTGCTATGCTTAAAGTCGGAGGATGGTGATTTATGATATATTTATCATTACGAAGATTCGATCCAGTACAAATAATGTCGATTTATTCATGATACATACACATGCTCATAGAGAAACAAACATTAAGCTGTCACTGCCTTCAATCCCAAACAAATTCTGGCGACTCTTTGTATGGTGCGTTTCAATGAGATTTCCAGAGTGGAAAGAAGCAGCACTGGAAAGGCTACTGATTTCCCTCAATTCTTTTCGAATTCCCCACAATATCTCTGCACATATCCTCATAGAGGGTCTTGATTGTCTCGAAGGAGCAAGGCATTGCCTAGCTAGTTTCAGCACCTTTTCAACTGCCTGAATTGATCCTCCATTTCTTCTCAAATTTGGATCCATTGCTACAACGGCTTCACCGTCTTTTAATCTCCTCAATGCCTGAATAGAAATTAACACACTGCAGCTTTATGAATAGAAACTATGCAAGATAATCGATCGTGCATGAATCCTGTACAACTGTCCAAACACTACAAATTGATCTATATTTTCATCTTTATTCGACGTGGGATTTATCCCTTAACATGTCTCGCAAGATGATGTCTCGTTTGATTTGAAATCCATATGCACATTTTTGAGTTTTAATCAGATCGAATTATCCGTTGGGACTTAATAGACTATGATACCACATTAAGATTGGAGATTCCATCTTAAAATGTCAACTTTATTAAAAATAGTTTAAACCCTTTATATTTTCATCTTTATTCGACGTGGGATTTATCCTTTAACAATATTCTCGAATCTTATTTTCTTCTATAATTCATGTTCAGAAGCAGTGAGTTTGATGATATTTCCATAAACTTACCCATCTTGTGGTTATTCTCTCATCAGGCCTTCTCTTTGATTCAATGGGATTTCTTCCCGTGATTATCTCCACAAGTAACACGCCGAAGGAGTAAACATCGCTCTTTTCAGTAAGCTGATACGTCCTGACGTATTCAGGATCCAAATAACCAGCAGTTCCTTTTACCTGTGTGGAAATGTGAGTGACCCTAGGATCTTCAACACCTAACCTCGCGAACCCAAAGTCCGCCACTTTTGCACGTAGTTTATCTGTGATAAGTACGTTTGAAGCTTTTATGTCCCGGTGGATGATTGGAGGATCTGCAATGTAAATAGATTGATCAACTTTATTGATATATCTTGATGTTATGGACTCGACATAACTGGACACAATTGGAGACGAGAACAAAAAGTGTTATTACTTCTTATTCCCCAAAAACAGACTCTCTTCTGGTAAGAGCTACTTGAATTTTTGAAATAACACAAACGTATTGGACAATATTTATATGTTGTTCTCGCCCATCTTGCCTAATCCAATGTACAAAACATTCTCTGTAATGATTAAAACTTATCAGCTTGCCTGTGTATGCGTGTAGATAGGTAATTGCATGAGCTATATCAGTGGCAATATCCAAACGTTCTGTGATGTCAAGCCCATTTCCTCGTTTCCCTGCACCACAAATTTGTGAGGTGATAGAATAATCTATTTTTTATCCAAGTGTTTGAGGTAATTTAAGGTATATTCTCCAACGGAGACCACTCAATCAAGATATTAATCTTTGTACAAAGTTGTTTGTACAGGGAAAATTGCCAGATGCTGATATGGTGGATTATGATTGGCTGTTTTAAATCTGTCTTTTGTGCAAAATCCAATGAAATTTTGACACTTAGCATTCTGGCTGTACATGTAGCGTATCTCTTAATCTTTTCTTGGCTTGGCCATACACATGCTGTACAACATTATATCGAGGTTTGTCCACTTCACATAATCAGAGTAATGGATACCAGGAAGCTAAGAACTTTCATTGAAGTGCATTTTTAAGGTATCATTAGACCTACCGTCCAAATGTTCCCGGAGTGTTCCATTGCTCACATATTCCACAACTACAATCCTCTCTGCTGCATGCTCCACATACCCATGAAGCCTTACTAAATTTATATGCTCAATCTTTGATAAGGCAAGAATTTCATTTTTGAACTCCTCTGACATATTCGGGTTATATTTATCCTGTCAAAACATAACATTTGTTATGTGCTTTTTTAACTAAATTGGACATGTCTCGTTTAATGTACCAAACATGGATACTTCGTAAACATTTCTCACCACTTTAGCACGTTTTACGGCGACAGTGAGTCCATTCTCGAGTTGTGCCTTGTAAACAGTTCCGAACCCTCCCTCCCCGATTTTATTTGCTGGGGAGAAATTTCTGGTGGCTTTATATATTCCTTCTAACGATAATTTGATTCTTAAATAGCCTGTTTCAATTTCTGAAGATGCATAAGAACTGGAACGCCTATGTCTTGATGAATACCTTCTCTGACTTGAAGCTGAAATAATAATTCACCAGAATAACATTTGATATAAAAAACCAGTTACATGATGGCTTAGCAGAGACTAGAACAGATGCTGATCTGATCTGATCTGAAGATATTATATAGAAATTTTATTTATTTTTAAAGCCACATAACTCAATTATCAACATTGGGCTGTTTTACAGAAGATATATACAGAAATTAATTTTATCGAGTAGAGATGTCGAGTGAACTTACACGAAATTTCTTCACTGTGACAGTGTGTTTTATTTGATTCAACTTGATCTCCAGTGGAGTTTTCTGTCTTTTCCCGAAATAAAAATGCAGAAAAGAAACGTCCCACTTTTCTTGCTGCGGTTTTGATGTAATCATTTAACCCAGAAAAGTACTTCCGATGCTTCTGATTATTGTATTTTCCGCTTATATAGTCATCCAAAGTAGGATTCTGTTTTCTATTTTGGCGACGGCGAATGACGAGAGGGCTGTCCATTTTCTTCATCTGCAAGCTGCTCAAATCTTCGGCTACGTTCGGAATCTTTAATATTTCTCATTCAAGAACTACGATCTTTAGCTGTAGTTTGAACCATTTCTTTGTATTTGAGAAAAAAACTTCTAAATTAGTAGGAAGGAACCTTAATCCCAGAAGAAACTGGTGTGTCTGATTATAATTCATTTTCCATGTTGTCAAACTTGGACTAATTCAACTTTTTCTTATTATTTGCTCTTGTTAATCAAAATATCGTAGCACACAGATTCCTCAGAACATAATTTTTGAACTAGCAAATAAGTAAATTACTTCGCGTCAATGAAAAGCAAATATACATATATTTGGCTGAAATGTTCAAACTGAATGCGAAAGGGAAGTATTTTTATAATTCAAACATGTATGCAATTTCTTATTATTCTTTTATACATTTTACTGCAAATTATTCCATCGGATTCAACTATATACAATTTTAAGTAAAAGCAAAATTAACATATTAGCAAATCTTTGAAAGTAGTGACTAATTTCTAGAGGTCTTAATTAAGGTTAATGTTGAAGCCTATTGTTTTTTTATTTATTTATTTATTTTCTTTTTGGAAATTGACTAATATTTTTTTGAAAAAATTAGTAGAACTCAATCTATAACATTAATGAGCCGCTAGAAAATGTTGTCATCAGGCATGCTAATGACTAAAAGAAGGAATAATCGTCTCAAGAATATGTCGAACCAAGCTGTTTCAATTTACATTATGCAACCAAATCTTCAATATATTTATATTTTGTTTAGCAAGATAGTGATCGTTTCAAGAATAATAATAAAGGGGAAATATGGTATTTACCTATTATTAGCATGACCATTTTTTATTATTTTTTTTTTATTTGCTGCACTAAAACAAGAAGGTTTTTTTATTTTTTACTTTTATTTTTAATAAGTGATCTGATAAACTATGTTTTTTACTAGCCCAATAATGATCCACATACCAATATCAAGTGACTTATTTTTGATATGATTGATGCTTGTGACTCACATTAGGTCAACATCTAGCATTTACTTACAATGGGTGTGATGGTCGATTGATGGCTATTATTTAGTAGGGAAGTCACTTAGTCATGCATGCCAATTTAAGTCCAAGCTATTAATTGGTGAGAATTTGAGGTAGGACGACCTACGCAATTGACATACTTATCCTAATTAAGTATCTTCGAACAACCATTATTATGAATATGGTGACTATTGGCAGTGTCTTATTTTACGCCTATAATAAATAAGAGCAACAATCATGCTCTGTGACATTTTTCTTGACAGAATGTCACATTCAAGTGAGACATTCTATTATTGGACATAAAAAAAAAATGCGCTCAATGATTTTTTTGCAAACATAGGTGGCAAAATGTGATATACAAATGGCAAAATCCTAAGAGCAAATATCCACACATGTCCAATAGCTTTGAAGCCACATCATCAAAATGAGGTTCTATAAAAGGAGGCAAAATCACGAGTAAAACTTTGATGCATGTTTTTCATTCTTAAGCTTATTTCCTATATCCATCTCCTTTGTATACTAATTTTTACATCGAATTCACAATGGGAGACATAGTTAAGGAGACATTTTTCTATTTGGCCTATCACTATTCCTTTTTATTGAAATGTTTATATTATCCTTAATGAAATAATTATTTCTATATTGCAACATATATCATAATCTTTTAAATATTTTATCTTCTATTTTGAATATAAATCATTCTATGATCTAATAAATAAGAATAATCTGCAACATATATTTCATAATTTCTAATTAAAATACAATATCCTTCAAATGGTAGATTTATATTTTCTAATTCATAAATAATATTCTTTATTTTTCCTAACATTCTTTCTAATAGATTATCTCATCCTTCAATTGTATATCCTGACATTTATTTATACAAATAATCATTGATTAATCCCTACGATTCTTTAAAATCTTAAAAAGATTCATTCTAATTTTAGCAAAAGTTTAATAGTTTTACATTAGGTTTGACCTGGATTTTTATTTTTAGAACGAGTTACCTTCAAAATCTGAATCTGTAAACTGCTTCTTTCAACGGCCTCCTACCTTCACGAAATTGTTACTATTTCAACTACTTGTTCTCACTGTATCAATTTCTAAAGAATAAAATTCTAGACTTCTGTTAAAGAAAAACATTCTTTTTTGCTAAAATAAGAAGGAAACTTTTTATCAGATTCTTCAAAAATTTATGGGAATAAAGATTTAGAAACTCATATTCATATCAAAATATTGGAGTTTTTATTTCTATCAGAATTTATACAAGACTTCTATTTGGTACAAAGGGATTTCCAGAAAAACTGATTTTTCAAACTGGGAATAGTTTTAAGAGTAACTATTGCTTACAACTCGAGATTTCAAGATAAGGTGAGATGATCTCTATATCTAACAATATCTCTATTTATACAAGTTTATGAGATTCTATTACATTATTGAATATATCAGCAAAGACACACTTGTCTCTCTATTATTTTCCTCCTTGGACTTACATCTTCACATGCTGTTTCAACTTTTTATCCAAAGAGTATCTTTTTCTATTATTGCTCTTTTTTTTTTCAATGTCTTCACATGCAGTTGGGGCACTCCCTTAGCTGACAAGACTCTTTTATAGTGGTAGGACATCCTGGAAATTGATATATATCGAATTTTGTAATATAGTCCTTTAAAATTTCTGATTTTCCATATCCTCAATTGGATACCAGCTTCCAAGTTTCATATTGGCACAAGCATGGAAATTTTTTATCAAACAAATTTTTGGCAATGTTGTAGATGGCTTTAATTCCAAGTGCTCTTCTATGTTTGATCCATGATTTTGTCACTATCAAAATTTTTCTATTATTTTCTGTAACATCTATTTAAAAATTGACTGCAACATATCCAATTGAGATTATATGTTCAAATGGATAGTAAACAACTCCATCATATTCTGGACTTATTGAATAAAATTTCAAATATATTTTTCATCCCTCGACAAATCTGGATACTTCTTTTATGAATATGTCATCAAATTCGAAATTTCAATCAAATCTTTTCCCGAATAAATTAAATCCATGAATTCATAATCTGCCATAATTTTTATAAATGAAGAGTCTCCTCCTTCCATAGTTGTTATTCTGGGATAAACATTATTTTTCGGAGAGATGAAATATGAATCACTCATTTTTATTTCATAAGCAATTTTGACTATTTCGGCATATTTTTCTTCTTTTGGATCTAAAGGGATTTTATCTTCTTGGTCTATGATGCTGATTGTTTTGGTATCTCTTTTATCACCATGTATCATAACTTTTTTGGTTGATGATACTCAAATGGAATCTCTTTTATTATCAGTTGGTATGTTGTCACGTTTGGGTTCACTGCTGCTTCCAACTGTCCCTGTTTGGTATTAATTTGGAAAATTCATTTCTGAGCTCTTTGGTATATCTGTCTCGGATAATATATCTTTTAATTGTGCTGCAATAGCATCAACTTGATTTTTGAGTTCTATGGCATATTTATGATGCTCAATAGTGATATTCAACAGTATTTTTATATTTAAGTTGAACATCTCTTAGATCTAGATTGCTCCAGAGTTTATATATTCAAATTCTTCTTTAAGAATATCTGTCATTTGTTGTATATGTAGGATATATTGGTATAATTTCATGACCTTGGTTTTATCCATCGGCAAATTCTATGTTTCTACTGAAAAAATCTGCATGAAAATTATTAACTTCTTTAATATGGACTATATCAAAATTATAAAATGTTAAATAAGCTTGCCATCTATGGAGCCTTCTGTATTGAGGTTCTGATGATAGTTTATTCCTGACTAATCCTGCAACTTGAGAATTATCAGTTTCAATAGTAAATTTATCGGATAATAAAAATAATGAGAATTTCTTTATTCCTCTAATAATTGGTAGTAACTATTTCTCATGAGTAGTATAATTTATTTTTGTTTGGTTAAAGGTTCCACTTGAATATCTACAAATTTCATTTAGATCTGTTTTTATATTGTTGTCCAATATTTATCTGACGCATCAGTATCAACGATAATTATCTTTTTCATTTGGTAATCTTAATTTTAGTAAATTTTTGCATTCTTCTTTTAATGATTTAACTATTTCTATATGTTTTTCATTCCATCCTTTAGTATTTATTTTTTTTAAGTAAAATTTGGATTTTATGTCTTTTTTTAGAAATATTTTCAATAAATCCTTTTGCACAATTTAAACATTCTAAAAAAAAATTTATTTGTTCTTTGGATTCTAATTTATCTAGAAAACTTTCTATCTTTTTTGGATATATGAGTCTGTAATTTTATCCCTCTTTTATCTATTGATAATTCAAGAAAATCTATCTCTTATTTTTCTATTATAGATTTCTTTTTAGATAGTACAATTCATTCTTTTTTACATTCGTTAATAAATTGGATTAAATAATTTCTATATTTTTCTTTACTATTAGAACATATTAATATATCATCTATATAAACAATTAGAAATTCATTAAACCTTTTAAATATATTATCCATCTTTTATTGTTATATTTGTGGTGCATTTTTTGGACCAAATGACATAACTAACCATTCATATTTTTCTTGAGATGTGTTAAATACAGTATATTGTATACTATCTTTTTCCATTTTTATTTGCCAAAATCCTGATTTACAATCAAATTTAGAATAATATTGTTTTCCTTTTGCAAGGTTTAACCATCAAATTTAGTATATTTGTTTAATTCTTTATAATTTATGACCATCCTAACTTTTCCTCTAACTTGTTCAGAATGTTTCATAAATATAAAGGCTGGACTATTATGAGGTCCATTAGTAGGTCGAAGAAGTTTTTGTTCTAACAATTCTTTTATTTGATTTTTAAATTCTTGTGTATCTTCTATATTATACATCATTGGTCTGACTCTTATTATAACATTTTCTGTTAATTCTATTTTGACTTTTGGGTGACGTGGTTTCTAAAATAATAATGGATTTTCTCCATAAATATTTTCTAGTTGTTCAATGATTTTTTCTATATTCATTTTTATTCCTATTTTTAGAACTTTTTTATATAATATTCTTTTATTTTTTTATTTCATTTTATATGTTTAGTTTTTTCTCCCATTTATCACCACGTTAGGCTGACTGAACTCTATAAGGTTTAAATTCTCTAAAAAAATTTAATAAGTGTCCACAAGATGTTTGTAGCATTATCATATAATTATTTTGTTTATAATATTGAAATTATTGTATGAAGTTATTTCCTAATAATG